GCATTGTCAGGGATGTTAAAAGGGAAGGGAAAGCTTCTGGTCAGCATAAGAGGATAAGGAGGCAGGGAAATGTAGGGAGTTATGGTGGAAATTAATGAATGGTTAAGACATCCCCGCCAAGGACAGGAGTTGGMCATTCAAGCATGAGCAGGTCCTTCCAGTCAGGCAGCCAAAAACCAAGAAAAAGACTTTAACCTAGGGTTTTAATCTGGGGTCATGGGATCCCATTCTCTGAGGTCCCCATTTCTATCTGCCTTCAGATAATCTATTTCCTGCTTCAATCCCACCTCTGAAGAGGTCCTTGACTACTCTCAGGGGAAGGAGGCAATGACAGTTCTGGTTTCTTGGAGGTGATGATGAGTGACAGCTGTGGCAGTTAGGGAAACTCAGCAGAGGGACTACCTAGGGGGCTTCAGTAGAAATTGGAGGTAGCTCCATAGAGGATCATATTTCCATGACCATTTGAAGGTTAATGGACACTAGGCATCTTAGGCATCAGGGCTGTCCAGATGTCCATGATGGTGGTTGGCAGGTAACTGGACAAGGTATATGTTGGGGAGGGATCATGCTAGTACAATAATAAACAATGCAACAAGACATTATTTTTTGCAAATGATTAACACACACACATACACAAATCAGTGTTTCAGCCTTTGAAGATCACAAAGATAGTAGCTCAGAGCCTAGAGTTTGGTCTGAAATGTCATTTTTTTTGTGAGTGGAGAACATTCTAGGCTTTAGGGACATTAGTAGAGTTTCTAAAAAACACAACATTTAATTTTTACAGTAATACTGAATAATATTAACACACCCCTCTCATGCATAGACAGGTCTTCTAGACATACAATTAATAGTCTGGAACTAGATGGATTCTCAGTTGAGTTCTACCAGACCTTTAAGGAAGAGTTAATGCCAATCTCCCTCAAACTATTCTGTGGAATACAAGGGAGGGAGCATTGTCAAATTCATTCTATGAAGCCAGTATCACCCTGGTAACAAAACCCAATGAAGACACSAAAAAAAGAAAGAAAACCTCAAAGTGCTTTTAATGCCTTTTCCCTCAGGCTGTAGGTGAAGAGATACCATGTAGTTTGGACACAAGGCTGAGCCACCACTCATTTTCTCAGGGAATGTGGAGTAGCTGAACCAAGGTCCACTCTAAGTCCTTCTCCATGATATAGAGAAATAAGACAAAGGAGACCAACAGCTGGAAAACGCTTTACACTTTCAACCTAGAATGGGATTCTCAAAATGGAGGCAACAGTTTATAATAACAGGAAAAGATCCCTGAGAGAGGAAGAAATCCAAAGATGGGATCAATAAAGTACATGTTTGTTATTGATGAAGGCATCAGAACAGTCAAGATGAAGAAGCAGAGAAGGTACACAGACATCCTTGAAATTTTAAAGCAATCAAATTCTACAGCTTTTAATTAAAAAATACAGCAAAACTGAAAAGAGACCTAGGTGAGGGTTTATGATGACTGATTAATGGAAGGGGTGACAGATGGCCACAAACAAGTCATAGGCCTTATAGTCTGAAGCATATCATCCACACAGCTAAAAAGGATGAAAAAAGACATCCACATCAGGCAGCCCACACAGAAGAGATGACTCTGCTATGAGATTGGATGCCCACAATCATGTTTGGGACCGTGGTGGAGATGAAACCAATGTCAGTCAGGGACAGGTTGGAAAGAAAGAAGTCCATGGGGGTGTGAGGTGGGAATCAGAGCTGGTGGCCAGGATGATGAGCAGATTCCCAAGTACTGTGACCAGATATATGAACAGGAAGAGCCCAAAGAAGATGGAATGCAGTTCTGAATCATCTGAGAATCCCAGGAATCTTAGGATGCATGTTAGATTTTGTGATCCAAACCCAAAGAAATTGGTCTAGAGAAAAGATCCAGCAGTCACCTAGCCCTGTCTATATTTTGTACAAATGTATACAGAAGTATTTATTCACACTTTCTTACGCATGCACTTTTGTAGTCTTCCCAGTTGTGAAAAAACATAATCTGAGACCTCTTTCAATATCAGTTTCTGTTTTACTCATCTCATTCTATGCACACCTTCTTTGAGATGCAAGAACATTACAGATAACTAGTCCATTATTAGAGTAAAATATAGCCAACACTTTAAAAAATATATATATAAAGAAGTAGCATTTGTCACCCTTTGTAAAGAAAACCAGTCTAATTAAGAAAGAAATGAAGCAGTCACACATACCTTATTTTATTCTAAGATGATGGTGCAAGTTCCTTTAGAGGATTTAAAACTCTATAGTTGCTAGAATTCTGTTATCTGCACACTACATCAAAGTTTATAGTTCTTCATCAGAAAAGACTTCTGTGTGCCAGTTATCTCCTAGTGTTTCCTACAGTATTGAATTTCTAATTTCTCTTTTTAAAAAATATTTTTATGGTTTTTTTGGTTATTCATAAATTAGGATTCATCTTGACATAATTAAAACAGCACAGAATATAATTTGCTCAAATTCAGTCTCCAGTATTCCCTTTCCCTCCCTTCCTCCCTCTCCCTGTCTCTCCCCTCTACTGAAATTTCTGCTATTTATTTTTATATTTGTTTTTCTTTTTAGTTAGTGTCCAACAACCAGTGCTTGCTTGGTTTCTCTGTTAATCATATAGACCTACTGTCCCTATAAAAATTAAGACATTATCACCTACATTTTCCTACTTTTAATATTACCACCAAAAATATGCATAAAATCTCTATAATAACAAGGTTCAAAGATGATTTGACCAGAAATCTCAATATGTATCAGGGATAATATGTCTGTTTGACTCCAAGGAGGAGGCACTGCTCTGGGGTGGGAGTCAGGAAATCAACATTTTAGTCCATATCATTAACTGCATAATTTTCAGAATCTGTGCAAATCTCTTGTGCTTTCTGTGCTCATGTAATTCAAAGAAAATGGGAAGAATAAAACCCATCTTCAGACCAAGGAAATGTGGAACCCAATAAATATTGCATCTTCTTTGTTTTTTAAAATAAATAAATAAATATCTGGGGATATAGCTCAGTTGGTAGAGTGCTTGCCTTGCATGCATAAGGCCCTTGGTTCAATTCCCCAGCACTACAAAAAATAAATAGATAGATAAACAAAATTATTTATTTTATTTTATTCTAGAAATAATGAGTTTGTTCAGGAGACATTTTCAAAGACCACGAGAGCCTCAGATGCTGTGAAAGTCTAAAATGTGTCACAGCCTAAGATGCAAGTTTCACTTCCCTCCAGTCTTTGGGCTTCCTTTTTCTCTTTTTCTGCTCATTAAGATCCATGTGTTAATCTTTGAATAATTGAATGTTGTCGTTATTATTATATGACATTCTTAGGACCCAGGAATGAATGACACTGACTTTAAAGGAGGTTTGTATAACATCTCTTTCATCTCCTCTTAAGATCGAGCAGGCTGATTATGAGATCAGAGGAGGACACAGGCAGCTGCAAGAGAGATCTGTGCTGATCACTGTGTATCCAATCTTCATGTGATGGAAATCTGTCATCTATAGTCATCCTTTCTAGTTTTCTCAGGAGTTGCTGACTATTTCTCTCACTGGGCTATACCAGGAACCTCTAAAAGGAATAGCACACTGAGAAAAGGGTCTCTTTCTGGAAAGACAGGCAAGTGAAACCCCTGGTTGGGTTGTCAAGGAGGCAGCATTCCAAAATTCTCCTGCTGCGATGCCCTGTGTCTATAATCAGACAAACCATGCAAATGTGCCTTATCAATATTCTACCAAACACCCCATATTAGCTACATAAAAATGCAGTGCTTCCGTCTTTTCTGAAAAATAATAATAATATAGAAGCTTAGACTTGGAAAAGTTAATGCAGATGAAATGAAATGAGTTATAGAGAATACATAAGTCAGATCCTGTTACTTAGGACTCTCTCCAAGTCAGTCCATGACATTAGGGATAATATCATCCTCTTCTTCTTTCTCAGCATTATTTTCATAATCCTTTTGGAGTACATTATGAAACAGATTTCAGGGATCCACATTTTCCTGTTGGGGTTAAGCTATCTAGGGGGAGTAGGGTTAGTATGGGTATCACCATCATATCCAAATACATAAAGTCCACAAAACTCATATCTGAAACATGCATGTTGGTATTATTCTACTTTTTTAATGCCTTTATTAGTGTGTTAMAGTTATACATAATATCTGGGCTCTTTTTGACATAAAAACAAATGCATACAATATAATTTGCTCCACTTCAGTCCCCAGTACCTCCCCTTTCCCTTCCCTCTTCCCTCCACCTGTTCCCCTTCCTTTACTCTACTGGTCTTCATTTTATTTATTTACATTTTAAAAAGTTTGTTCTCATGAGGGTAAAAAATGGTTCCACCCCTGAGCACTTAATGTGTTCTTCAAGTAGGAGAAGTGTATGGCGATCCAATTGTGCMGGTGGGAGTCCAGATGAAGGGGTGGAGTCACGGCCTTATTATTTATTGCTATAAGACCTTGGAGGCCCAACACACAGAGTTCACACTCAGTCATGTTGATGTACAAAATTCAAGTCTCAAAGGACTTCCTCATATTAGTGGARGAAGAAGAGAAAATGAATGTCTACAATAAGTTTGGGTTCTTCCTACACTCAGGAGAAAGTTTGTATGTACTATTCACTTCTGATTTTCTCTTTTTCCCTAAGGATCCATTTTCTTTTTACATTCAAACTGAAAAAAACAAAATACAAATAAACAGTGGCAGTGACTATAGGCACTTCCTTGTGCAACCATCACCACCCTCTATCTCCAGGACTRTTTCACCTTCCAAAACTGAGACTTTATACCAATTTTTAAAACTTCCCATTCCTCCCCCAGCCACGGAAACTTCTTTCTACTTGAAGCATGATGAGAAATTAAAGCTATCAAACTACAAAATATAATGTGATCAATGTGGTAGATTTAATGTCTGGATGTTTAGTTCTGTTGCTGCCAGCATACATTCGAAATGGACGCCACAGGACCTGAGATCACACTGCTCTCCTGTGCAGCCTCCACAGGGCACTTTTAATGTCCCTGTTCCTCAGGCTGTAGATGAAGGGGTTCAGCATGGGGGTGACCACAGTGTACATCACTGAGGCCACTGCACCTTTTTTGGTGGAAGATGACTTATTGGAAAAAAGGTACACTCCTATGCCAGTTCCATAAAATAAGCAAACTACTGAGAGGTGAGAGCCACAGGTGGAGAAGGCTTTGTACTTCCCACCTGAGGATGGGATCCTCAGAATGGAGGAAATAATTTTGTAATAAGAAAAAATGATCCCTAAGAGAGGAAGGAAACCATAGATGGCACCAACAAAATACATGAGTATATTTACAGTAAAGGTATCAGAACAGGCAAGACCAAGGACCTGAGAAGGGTCACAGAAGAAGTTAGCGATGTCCACATTCTCAAAGTAGGAAAAGTGTATGGTGATCAAATTGTGCACTTGGGAGTCCAAAAGGCCAAACAAGAAAGACACCAAAACTAACCTGACACAGAGGCGAGGGTTCATGATGACTGCATAATGGAGGGGGTGACAGATGGCTACAAACCGGTCATAGGCCATCAGAGTCAGAAGCAGATCATCCATGCATAGAAAAAGGATAAAAAGGGACATCTGAGTCAGGCAGCCCACGAAGGAGATGACTCCGCTATGAGTTTGAATGTTCACCAGCATCTCTGGGACCGTGGTGGAGATGAAACCAATGTCAGCCAAGGACAGGTTGGAGAGGAAGAAGTACATGGGGGTGTGGAGGTGGGGGTCAGAGCTGACAGCCAGGATGATGAGCAGGTTCCCAAGCACTGCGACCAGGTACATGGACAGGAACAGCCCGAAGATGATGGGTTGAAGGTCTGGGTCCTCTGAAAGTCCCAAGAGATGGAATTCTGAGACACCTGTTAGATTTTGTGGTTYTCTAGTTCTTGGACACCTTTTGAAACAGAAGATTGTAAAAAAGTAAACAACAAGCAGGAAACACATATTCAAACAATCCTACACATTCCTTTGTTTTAGAATATTTAAAATAAAGACTGCACTATATCAACACTAAAGTTAAATTGGTTTATATCAGAAAATTTGTTCCAGATTTATCCCAAAGCCATTTTGGCTTCTGGTTTTTTTTATTTCCCTCATTTGTGAAAGAATCCCTCTATCAAATTTTATTTGCATTTTAAAAAGTATTTAAAATAGAACATGGATACTCAGCCTTGTAGACTTCAAATTTTGATAAATAAGGTAAATGCATATAAGCAATGTTCATCAATCTCAAATGTAGGCTTTGTGTGCACTGAACCTATCAATGATGAAACAGCCATGAAATACTAAGTAGCAGACTAGAAATTTATATTTCATGTTGGTTTATTTGTATTGATCCCTTATAATCTCAATAAAATATCTAGTGAGGAAGATATTGTTTGGCTTTTAAAAAACTTTTATTTTCCACTGGTCATTATATTTTTGATCATAAATTCTCCTACATATTGTTGAGAATTTTTGCATCAGGGATGTCCCCCAAGCCCAAATATGAATACTACTCTTCTTATGCCATGTAATAGAATTTTAATATCCACACCTCCTGGAACTCCGATATGCAATTCTCTTACCTCAGCTACTGTAAAGTGACTCAGAGTTATTTGTTTTATGAGGTCACAATATGATATCATTWAAAAAAAGCAGAAGAGAAAAGTAGAGAAAATAAAGTAAACCCTCCTGGGCCATTTTTTCATGTCTAAAATGGGGACAATAATTACTTAGCTTATTGTGAGACTGCAGAATAGTTTACAATTCTTTTATTTAAATTGCAGAGTYGAGTGTTTCTAAGTCTTGTTTATCATTGTATTTAGCTATGATTATTTTAAAATATCATGATGCCCTGGCATTGGACAAACACTAACATAATCAGAGCATCTTCAAGTGAAGTTCTTTGTGTTCTTTCCTTAGCCCAAAGTTGAGAGTCAGTGCTTCAGAGTACTCCCTGGTATTGAGAAAATGCCCTGTTAAGTTTATCTACTATTACTGTCAATAATACCCACTACTTATACTGAAAAGAAACTTAGCAATATGTGCTTCAGAACTAACATTTTAGAGGGATTTGAATATTTGCCTACATAATTTCACTTCCAGGTTTCTTTATATGATTCCATTTTCCTACATACCTGTGTCTCCTCCACCCACTCCCCCCAAAAAAACCCTTCACACATGATTCAGTGGGCATATTTTCTGTTACTAGAGATGTCAGTACTGATATGTGTATGTGTAAGTTTTATTCTTGAAGGCATACCTTAAAAAGTATGTCAAGCTTATCTAAGTAGTTTACAACAAACATCAATTGCCCCTGAAATGGACAAATTTACATTGTTGTGTGGATTTAAGTCTCTCTGTCAAATAATGCAGCTTATTCAAATAATTCAGCTGGAGCTGGGGATGTGGCTCAGGCGGTAGCAYGCTCACCTGGCATGCGTGCAGCCTGGGTTCAATCCTTAGCACCACGTACAAAGATGTTGTGTCCGTCGAGAACTAAAAAAAAATAAATATTAAAAAAACTTCTCTCTCTCTCTCTCTAAAAAAAATAACTCAGCTGATGTACAGTATATCTTGAGGGAGGAACAACTTTAATTAGCAAGTTTATTATTACAAAATAACTTCAAAAATCCTTGTGTCTCTCTCTCCATACCACAGAAACAAAAATTTACAAATAATATATGCATAAAGTTTGGTTATTTGAAACCTATTTAACTATTAATCACGTGTATTTGATGTGTCCATTGAAAATGAGTTCTAGCATAGGCACAATGGCACACTCCTGTAATCCCAGTGGCTTGGAGGCTGAGGCAGAAGCATTGCAAGTTCAAAGCCAGCCTCAGTAACTTAGTAAGGCCCTACGCAACTTAGTTAAATCTCGTCTCAAGAAACTTCATCTTATAAAGGGAATCATATTTTAATGTGTCTCCAGTACAGAATACAGTACTCTGATCAGAGAGTCAGGAAATCAACATTTAACTTCGGATCATTAACTTGCAACTATATGATGAATGTGTACATATCTTTCCAGCTGTCTGGGTGCACACTGCTTAAAGAAATAGGGACAAACACACCCATATCTTCCACATATAAGCCATGTAAGGAAAGTTTGGAAACTAACATATATTTGGTTATTGTCTTGTATTTCCAAATAAAGAAATCCATGGAAATGGTAAGTTAATTGGCTCAAATAATTGTTCAAAACCCAGGGAAGCCTGGAATGATAGAACTCAAAAATATGAATTAGCTTAACGTAAAGAATGCCTCACCTGTTTACTTCTCTTTCTCCCTCTTTCCTTTTTAATGCTAATACATACCTCTGCAATTTCCTTTGAGTAATGTAATACAGTAGATGCTGTTAAATAAAAAAAATGTGAGGGTCATGTGTCCATGAGGCATAAAAGACATAAGCAATAACTATTATTGTTTCCTATTCTTTCTGACTTTCCTGAAGGATCAAAAGTGCAGAAGAAAAGCACCAAATGTGTTGAAGCCACACTGATATGGACACATTCTGCCACCAAGGAAGCGACTACCCAACATTTAACAGAGAGTCCTTTTATTTTTGATGCCTCCTTTGTTCCAAACAAGGGAAGATCTGATGAATCAGAAATGAAAAAAGAATTCAGCATCTCCGTCCACATACACAGCCTACACTTATGAAAGGACAAAATAGAACAAAATAAAATGTCCCATTACAGAAATAGAAAAATAATAACTTCAAATATCATGATATTTTAGTTAAATGGTAGGAAGATTAAAATAATAATAATAATAATAATATCCAAATTGGCTTTCCTCCTTTTTTATCTATTTMTTACATCTTAATCATGCAGGGAATACCCATATATATATTTAACTTACCCTTAATGAAGTTGTATTAGCTAGAAATTAACTAAGATATACTGAAAATCTGTCTGTGTCACTGACATAACAGGTGTRAGGGACAGATTCACAATTAATATCTGATGTCTGGGTCCAGAGCAGTAAATGCTTCCATTGTTTTCCAATCAACAGTAAGTTTTAAGCAGATATTCAGAGGTCTCGATGACAGGGATATCTGAGGAATTTTGGAAGACTCTTCCCGGTAGAAGGAAATCAACTCCTTCAAGACATGAATTTAAGTATCCTTTTGAAGTGGGGTTTGTAGATTACAAAACTGCAGGCATTTGTGGACAGATCCAAAACACCCTGGAGTGGGTCAGGAGGGAAATCTGTGCTGAACTGTGATTGTCTACCTTTTCTGTGATCCTTGCCTGTGATCTTAGCTACCCCTCTTATACTTGATGCAGCAGGTGCCAGCCACTGCTCTGCCCTGTGAAGGATATAGTGAGCGAGGGGTCTCTTCCTGGAGTGACAGAGAAGTGCAATTTACTATTGGGTTGTCAGGAGGAAACCCAGCAAGATTCTCCTGGCAGGATGCTCTGTGWCTATATTCAGACAGACCCATTCAAAATCTCTTCAGTCTGTTTTACCTAACAGTCTGATAGCAGTTACATAAAAATTCTTTKTTTTTTTTTTTCATTTTATGGAAAATAAGGGGGACACTTACAATTTTGGGGAAACTATGCAGATTAAATGAAATGAAGCAAGCTATAAAAAGTCAGAGCTTGACACTCAGGAATCCCTCAAACATGGTTCATGATGTGATGGTTGCTGCCATCCTGCTCCTCCTCATCCCCTTCATTATTTTTTTGTAGTACTTAGGAAACACTGTTGGGAAACCCATTTAAATGTTCATGGGTAAGGTGTGTCTGGCAAGCACAGCAAGTATAGGAAGAAAGCAAATCTTTGCATGAGTCTTCTGGGACCCAAACACAACACAGAACACTCATCATGGGTATGATTTTTTGTCACTCGCCTCCCCTCTGGCTACCCACTCTGATGTATTTGTCCTGATGAGGAGAAAACAATATTTCTAATGGTCCTCCCTCCCTCCATCATCTCCCTCAGCACTTACTGGTTTAAGCTGCCTCTCTGCTGGGTCATGACTGAGGAATGCAATTCAAATACCACACCTCATGCCCAGTGAAGGACTCTGCTCTCTCTGTGGGCTCCGTGTGAATCCAAGGTAAGATGTAAGCCTCCTTATGCAACCCTGGGATGGTAGACACAGGTGTGGAGCCCACTGGACTGGAGCCATCAGACTGAAGGGTTGGAGGCACTGGAGGCAATGGCTGATTTTTATTACAACATGACCTTGGAGGTTCAATGCACAGAGGTGATCATTAGCCAAATTGGTCCATGTTGCCCCAATTCCAATCTCTAAGTATTTCTTAATAGTAGTTGAGGGAAAAAGAGCTGAAGGCCAAAGTTTTGGTCCCTGTACTATTCACTTGATTTGTTCTTTCTCTTTTTATTTTAAAGCCCACTTGTATTTTTCCATTGTTTATTATAGTGAAATATACATTAACATTGCCATTTTCACCACTTTTTTGCTCACTATTTGGTGGTAMTAATCACCTTCACTTTGGTGTTCAGCTATCACCAACATCTATTTCCAGAAAATTTCTGCTTCCCAAAGTGAAACTTTGAACCCATTTTAAAATCTCTATATTCCTTCCTCTCTCCACACTAGCAAAGACCATTCTTTAGATTTATAAGTGAAACATGATAAGGAATTAAAGTCTAAAATGTACAAAACTAATGTAAGCAAGAGGCACCATTTACGGGTATACATGTTTAGCTTTGCTGCCAAGTCCAAACTCTATACCAAATGAATGTCAAAGTTTCTGAGATCAGATTCTTCTGCTCTGGAGACTCCTCAGGGATTTCTTCCTCAAGGCATAAATGAAAAAAAAAATCAACAAACATGTAGATCACTGAGGCTTCTATTCCCTTTCTGGAAGAATGTGATGCAGATGAGTAAGTACACCTCACAGCCTGATCCATAAAATAAGCAAACAACTACCAGGGGAGATCCACAAGTGGAGAAGGCTTTAGGTTTCCCATCCAATGAT